CGGTTACCCGTTTTTCCCGGCAGTCATGGCAGCTCCGTTTGCCCCAAATGTAGAGTGTGGGATTTTGCCCATTTTTTTTTTTTTTTTTTTTTCGCATTCAAGTCTTGCTGCTTCTGCTTACAGTCAACCATGGCACCCGTGACGGTCAGTGGTTGGAGGGGCCCCGCTGAGTCCCATCGGCTGAAAAGTTGACCACAGATGCCAGTGCGGGCCCTCTCATCCTGTCATAATCTGATGAAGTCACTCACGTTTGTCACGTTTCATCAAGGCTTTATATAGATGAAATGTGGACACCAGGCAACTTTAGAGCAAAATCCAATGAAGCTCCCTTTCCGGGCCCGGCTCCGGAGAAGTGTGAGATGCACGGGAAGGTTTCCCGTCCCACTAGAGCCTGCCTGAAAGTCTTAATACGCCCTGTGACCTACTGTCAGGTTTAGTTGCGGGCACCCCGTTTGACTGCGATCGACTAGCTTTCTCATTTGCACCATAACTGCCATGGCAAATGTTTAGACCCACAATCTCGCTGGGCATCCACGGCAATCACAGCATGTCCTAATTTGTCTATCACATCCCACTGCATTGTCTCATGACCATCCCGTTTTGTCCACAGGGGCTGCCTCGAAGTGAAAACATACATTGCTGTCTCTGGGAAGTTGGCTGCAAATAGAAACCGATGCATGACGGTGACATTTTAGTTGCAGTTATAACAGCTCCATATTTTCTAGATTGATTCACTGCAATATCAAATGAGCACACATCGTTGACACCACTTAGCTCCACCTCCACTGAGATTATCATTTGAGGTACTGCTTTCATTTCGTGGCTCCCACAGATGAATGAATGTCATTGACGTATGGTCCCCGGCAGAACGGTACTGCGTAACACGTGTCGTCGCCATAGCAACCCGCAGGCTGTCTGTGCTTGGACACTTTGCCGAAGGAATACATCTGAGACCTGATCACTAACCCAGATAAGACAGATGAGAAATAAAAATGACAGCTGCCAAAAGTCATGGGATCTCATCAGGCTGGTGAATTAATTATGAACATGTGTGTTGATGTGTGTGTTGAAGCAGGAATAATAGATGTCGATGCTGAGGATATAGGTGTCATTCATCCGAATGTGACTTCTGTTTTATAGAAAGTCTTTCATGGGTAAAATGTTTAGTTCCATTTTGTTTTCCATTAAAAAAAAAATATTTTCAAAATAACGCGGTCATAAAGAGTGAAGTAAAGAGTGTTCATTTTACAAAATAGTTTATCACAACTATCTATCTGGAAAAGAGGCTATTATGAATGGAGGCTATTAAGAAAAGAGCAGGCACTTTAAAACTGGAAAGGTGCTCGGACAAATGTATCTGTCACATCCATTACCGGCTAATATGATCAACAAATATTGCTGCTAGCTTGGTGACTATGCCACTCTGGAGAAGAGTGGAGCTATTTTTTCCATGAAGAAAAGTGTGCATTGCTTTGTTTATAATAAAATAATGTCATTAGATTGTGCTTAGTGATGAACATGTAGAAAAAGTGTTTTCATCATTAAACCATAAAAAATGATTTCTCAGACAGAAAAAAAATCCAAACAGGAAGGGGTAAAAGGAAAGACTGCCCTACACAACCTTTTCACATGAAGCATATTTGCCTCGTAACATAGTCAGTCGTAAGAAATCAGAGCGTCAACTTGAATGCGCTAAAGAGACATACAGTCCACCACATGTATAAACAAAGCTGAATTAATTCAGCAATATTGACACGCAAACTTATATGGCTTGTCCTTCGTCACCCGGATTGGCTGTCAATAAGGCTTGATGGTGACTTGACGACTTCGCTGATACCATCTGAATAAAAATAACTTAATTGACCGTTAGCTGGTATCAGCATCAAACATTGCAATGGCTTGTTAGAACTTTGGGCCTTAAAGTCTGAGTTATCGACCCTTGGAAGTTGAAAAAGATCATAAGCCGTTGTGTGCCTCTTTGACAGAAAATCTGTAGGAGCGGCACCTCCATCTATGGCCAACCTCAAAGGGTCTCCTACGAAGGCCGCATTTGAAGATGGCCTCAGACGCCATGAAGCCACAGGCCTTCGTAGCTGTCAGGACGGTTCAAACTCACAGTTGCTTTCCATAGCTAAAGCGATGTATGCCCTTAAAAAAAATGCATAATGATCAGATACACTAGACTGCACAGCTTACGTCAGTTTTCATCAGTTGATAAGCCATGGGAAAAACTCCCAAGTGCCAGAATGAGCAGAATAATTTTGCCCGGAGAATGTGCCAAACAGAGCTCTGCTTGAATTAGCCTAGCTGCATTTTTTTCTGCTTCTACGATTTTCTATAAAATATGTAACAGATATTTACTTGAGTCAAATCTTGGAATGAAAGTCAAATCATCAAATAGAAGGTCTATTGAGATTCAAAAGCTTTCTTTCATCCTTGAATATAATTCTTCTCATGTAAAATGCAACTGTCCAACAAGGGGATCTTTCATATTTTCTTCTCATCGACACATTTCTCAAAACTTCTCACTGACAGGTTTAGTTGTGCTCTCGAGCGTCACACTCCAGCAGCGGTGATTTGCGAGCGCCCGTGGGGGTAACTTAAGCAGCGTATTTTGCTCTGAGATGATACAACAAACATGTACAATAAACGTGATATTTGAATTTGGCTTTGTAAAGTATGCAAATGACTTCGATTTCTCCAAAAAGCGTCACGCAACTAAAACTGAATGTAAAATTAGCCGCAATCCGTATTTATCCGTCTTTGGACACATGTGAGTCTAAAATGTGAACTGGCCAGTGCAGTGTGGGTCAGACGTGGACAGACTCGTTTCGACAGGAAATTCTAGATGTGCACGGCCACGATGACTGCGGAGTGGCGCTCGGCCCGTGCAGTAGGACTTCGCCATGGCGATTGATTTATTCGGTCTTCTTAACTAGTGTTCCTTAGCTGTTGTCAGGAACGCAGGGATGGCTTAAGATCCCCATGACGACCAATTGCGAGTGTTACCTTCAGAGCGTGCGTATCTGACCTTGTTGTTTATTTTTATTTTATTATTTTTTTCCTAGCATGAAAATATGTCTTTAATGCAACACAATCAATTGCTCCCGCCCAAGATAGAAAAGGGGATCGACGTAGAATAAAAACGTGTCAATGCCAAACAAAATCCCCCTTTTATTTCCAAATGTCACACTTCGATTCCTCGGTGAGAGATGGTGACTCATTCAGCCACTTAGCACTCATCCCACTCCATTTTTATTCCCTTTGATTTGTCAACAACAGTGCCCCATTTGTCTACCTTCATTTTTTTTTTTCGGGATACCCTTCAGATTATTCTGTAATATATTTATTTCTCGCTCATTCAACAATCCGTTTAGAGACTCTGCGCGTGCAGCTGTGGCATATTAATGAGTGAGTCATGCAGCATCTGCTCTGTCATTGACAGGTGAAGCAGATTATGGAGGAAGCGGTCACCAGGAAATTTGTTCATGAAGACAGCAGCCATATTGTTTCCCTTTGTGGTGAGTAAGCAAACACAACGCCGGATCACACCTATGCTTATTTCGGCAATGTGCACTGTGAACAACTCCCGCAACAGAAAAGCCATTCCCTGTGTCTCCTGACTATACTGCTCACAAAATTAAATTTGATTGAAATGTATCATTACATTTGTAACACCTCAAGAGGGTGCGGGACTTTGCTTCTTGTTCAAGATAGATTGTATGAAAGATAACGGAAAGAAATAACACATATTACAGCTAAGAGTGTGCTAGCATAATTAGCATGAGCTGTATGGCAGCCCGTTTATTAATTCAGTGCAAGTCACGCACAATTTGTTCCGGTATGCCAGTCGATGTCAGTTTTTCTCCAGAGGGAATAATGGTCATAAAAATAATTAGTCTACCCAAAAGCACCCGATATGAATCATGAAGGGGCCCGAGAGTTACAGGAATGTTCCAAAGTAATAAAAGTCAACTATCAAGGGTACTAGAATAGGAGATGAAAGTAGCACCCGGTAATGTTACAGTGATGTGATTTTTTTTTTTTTTTTTTTTGTGGCGCTTTCTCCAATATGGCCATGGCTCTGTCGTGATCAACTTTTTCTTTTCTTTTTTTTAACAAGGCACAATAAACACTCCCAAGACTCCTCCATCCAAAATGGAACCGGCCCTTAATTAATATTATTAATTACCTCAGAGATTACCGCGCACTCGTAGGTCAAGTGGTTCCTGTCAAAAGAACTTGCTGTACTGGCTCCTGACAAAATCTATTTTGCTGAGACAATATACCAGTAGATGGATTTGTAATGGCACATTTTCCACTTGTCTTCTTAGCATCTGTTAACAGTAGTCTAATAAAAATGTACATATTTATACCGCATAGAACCAAATATAAAGTAATACTAGTAAATACTATTAACAATTAAAAAAAACACAAGAAAAGTACTTTTGATAGCAGGTCTCCCTATTTGTGAGTCTCTTTTAGAGACTGCAAAACTTACTGGAAAGTTTCTGTCAATAATAGTCTACATGAGTCAAGTGAATGGTTACACAAATTGTTTATTCATTAATTTGACATTTTTAGGAGAGTTGCTTCATATAAACGTGTCCATTAACACATCGTTTTAGAAATGGTGTTAGTGTGAAGCCAGTGGCATTTGAAGTTCTTTTTTTTTTTTTCAGCAATTGGTGCTAGTGAAGACTGATATTATTTTAGTGTGTGAGAAACACACTGCCCACGTGCAAGCCACACTTTGTCAGCTGTGTGGCTCAGACAAAACAAGATTTATTTGTGGAGTTCACTTCATCTGTTTGTACTGACTGATTTGATATTTGTATGATAGTAAAAGGGTTCAACATAAACACAAAATTAAAATCATGATAATAATTTCTGACATGACTTCCGGTTGCATGATGATGATGGTAAAACTTAATTTGTCAGATTCCCCAACAGATGTCAGAACAGTTACAACTGTCTCAACCTGCGGTCACCGTGACATTTAATTCAATTTAATCCTTATTCCACATCAATGAGCATGTTAGCGCCTGGAGGAAAAAGCACTGGAGGACTGAGAGCAAATGAGATCAAATTGCTTGAAGGACAAACGGTTTTGTTGCAAATTGTTATCAAAAAAGAGAATGCACATATCAAATCTTCAGTGCTTTTTTTGTGTGTGTGTGTGTGTGTGTGTGTGTGTGTGTGTGTGTGTGTGTGTGTGTGTGTGTGTGTGTGTGTGTGTTTGTGAATGCGAGAGAGCATGGTGTATTAGAATTTTCGCATTTCACATCCTATGAGGAAATGAACTTCAGTGTAGCTAAATGATGTTGCACATTCTTCCAAAATCCCGTTTCACAGTTTAGCGAGTGAAAAGTTATAGAAATACGGTGTCGCGCACTCCACAGATTTTATTAAAATATGATTGAACGTCTCCGTTTACACAACGCTTCAGTGTGTTTAATATTTAATGTTGTCGGGTTTGTGTTTAATAGCGTATTCATGGGAGAGTGTCGTGGAGTTCCTTTGCTGTCAGTATAAACATTATCCTTTGAATCTTTTAAAAGCCAGGCCGGTCAGTCGGAGGAGAGTGTTTTCTTCCGACCGTCATTTATCTTAATGGACCCTCTCCATGCTCTGTTTTGTTGTCAGGCACCTTCCTCCTCGCATCCTCCCCCTCTCGCGCCATCTCGCCGTGGCTCTTGTTACCACCCTCTTTGGGTTGTGGTCCGTGTAGACTCGAATTGAGCAAATGGAGGAGGGGAGACGAGCTCAGCCGACTCTCCAGGGAGCAATTAGCCTTCAACATCGTGGCTTCTTTGATGAGCTGCCATAGAAAGTCAGAACCGCTGAGACGCAATGAAGATAGTGTGGCGTGAAAACAAATGATGTGACTGGTGTTTAATGGCCCTCATTTGAATTATTTAGGGCCATTGTATCGAGGATCTACAGACTGTCGATTTCTATCAGAACATACAGTGAATATAAAAAGTCGACACGCCCCTGCTAAAAATGCCAGGGTTTTGTGACTTTTTTTTCCATCATTAATGTGACCTCTCACTCGTCCAACTCAGTCTTATATATTTTTAATGTTCCCAAGAGAGTTGAAAATAAATAAACTGAGAAAATGTGGCTGCACAAGTGTGCACAGCCTCTTCTAACTGGGATGGAGCTGTGTTCAGAATTCACAAATTACCGTCAAACACGTGAGTTGATGCACACCTGCCACCATTTAGACTACCTCTGATTAACCCAAATAGCTGTTCTAGTGGGCTTTTAATTTTTTCTCTCCTATATATGAGAAGTCTGAAGGTTTTGTATTAACACTGACTGCTATTTTGAACCGTTCGTCATTCCTTCCTTTCATTTCTTGATGTCATTGGACCATACACTGAATCTCTCAAACACAAGTGAGGGAAAATATGTTATGTGGTCCCATTAAACCAAGGTTGAACTTTTTGGACCATAATTCCAAAAGATATGTTTGGCACAAAGACACACTGCTCTTCACCAAAGAACACATTACAGGAAAGTAGTGATTGTTCATGCGCATTGACATGTCGGCGCACGTGTCGAGTTAAGGAGAATGAAACCTCCATGTCCGCGCGCATATCATTTGGAGGAAAATGACGCATGACTAATATGTATCGCTCAATTGCTACTGGGTACGGAGGCGCCGAACTTTCTCAGGAAGTGCATCTCTGATTAATAAATCACACATCTTTTGAAGCTCTATTTTTCCCCAAAAGAAGAAGAAAGGAGTCACCTTGTGGAACCATTTTCATCTCTTATCGACAAATAAGTATTTTTCCTTTCACTTTCCGTGCTTTCTACAGGGTGCAAGTCACTTTGACCCTTTCAGGGTTACTACAGTGGACAGCTTATCATCTTATCAGGTTACAGGGTGCATGAAAGGGTTCATGAGGCTGCGGGACATTTCGCCCCACGTATCGAAGTTGACAGCGTGTGTTCAATCCCCAAGTGAATGAATGAATATGCATACTAAAATAATATTGACATGTGTTTCATGTATGGGACTATTTTTATGAACAGATATTAACAGAGACACATGTTCACATTATTTCTTGACCTTATATTTCAAAGATATTTTACGCTTGGATCAAAACAGAAATAATACAAAATAAGATACAATACAAACATAACTTAACAATATTGTATATCGACTGTCTGCACTGCTTTGATGTAAGATCCAGCAGGTGTCCTCTTTAGCGACAGATTGACACAGCACCGACACCGTGCCAATACAGTATCAAAGCAGTTTGCCTAATGTGCTGCAGCGTTTTATGAGGCCTCATCTACCCGTGTGAAGCACGGTGGTGACAATGTCCTGCTTCGGGGCTGTTTTTCTTCAGCGGAAACGGGGATCTTATAGTCAAGGCAAAGGAAATTACGAACAGTTCGAAAGAGCAGGCTGCGTTCGCACTAAACACTCATGCATGTGCAACTAAGCAATTAAATGTCAGGAAAAGCCCACCGCGTCATCCGAAATGTATCTGGTGCAGAGGCACTTTAATTGGTGTGCTGACTCTCATTTAACATGAATTTGAATATTATTCTGAACGCAGCCACGTCCCAGTGATAGAGTGTGCACACTCTTGCAACCACATTATTCTCAGTTCAATTTAATAATGGAAAAAGCTTTGAAGTCATTTATCTTGGTCTCTTTTTTTAACATCACAAACATGTAGGCTTTTTAGATCCCTCCCCCTCTATACTTGGCTAAATGTATTGTACACGCATGTTTTTGTTGTTTTTCCACGGACAATCAGCATCCATGATGACTCGGTCGATTTTTGCAAACTATCACACTTTGTGAGACGTCTTGCCGGTTGAAATGGTTTTGGTGAACAGCATCAAAAGGAAACAGTGAGTCAAACAAATCAAGGAAGATGCAGGCTTGTCCGTGCGGTACTGTTTTGTTTTGTTTTGTTTTGTTTTTTGGAAAACGAGCAGTTTCATTGGCAGCGCTGAAGTTACACCTCGCTTGGCGCCACCGTGAAAGTGGTTTCGGCGGTGACAGCAAAAGAGTCCGGTTCCCATTTACCGAGCGGCAGGATGCAGGAGATGAGACGCTATGTTTGAAGGAGTCTGGATGATGAAAACACAGATTATGATGCTGATGAGGCTCGGCTGCCGCTCCCTCCCTCCCTCCCTCCCTCCATGTGAGCTCTTCCGAAGCTCTATCTCCGATCTCGCTATCAACAGGGGTTGCCACGGCAACCACGGTCTTCCATGTGACCCCATGTGAACAGAGGCCCAGGATTAGTCCTAAAGAGGGCTCAAATGTCAACACAGCCTCAGGTGCTGCCTGCATGTAGGCCTTCAAGGAGAGGGCAATCGGCTTTTCTGCTCATTGTGGTGATTGTTCAAGTGTTCGTTGTACTTTTGAGTATTTCTGCGACGAAGAAACAGTACTTTTGATCCAGCATGTGATTTGAAGGTGATTGGTTCGTGTGTGCACGTGTTCAACCAAATGCATTTCATCGTTTTGTCGTGACCTCTCGAAAAGATTCTTTAAAAAATCTGTTGATTTGTACAGGTTTTAGGTCACATTAATTGTGGAAAATGTCTTGAAATTATTTACCGTGGTTTTTTGTTTTTGTTTTTGTTTCATCACAAATAGCTGCGCGGACACCCGCAGCGGCTCCTCTTGTTTTATGTTGAGAGGGAAGAAATTTCATCTGTGCTGTATGTTACACATACAGTACATTTGACAATAAAGTTTATCCAATCCAATCCAATCCATTTGAACAGGAGTGTAGAGTTTTTATGGCCACCGGTACCCCGGTCTTGGTGAGTTTATTGTGCTGTTTAACAAGAGAAAACAAAATAGTATAAGACCATTTCTTATTTTATGAATAATGTATTGATTGTTTGTTGTATCATGAATATTAAAAAAAAAAAACACACATTTGCATTAATCTGCGGATTTTATGACATGCGTTTTTTTGGTTTTTTTTTCCCCCCCAACCTTTTGTACTCAAACAGCTGCGGTGGAGGCATGTGTTTTGCACGGGTTGAAACGTCGAGCGGCTGGTTTTCTTCGAAGCAACAAAATAGCCGCCCTGTTCATGAAGGTGGGCAAGAGCTTTCCCCCGGCCGAGGAGCTGTGCAAGAAGGCCCAGGCGCTGGAGCAGATTATAGAAACTAAGTGAGCGAATAACGTGGAGCGGACAGCAGACAACGATTCTCTGTCGCTTCCGGACACGTCATTATTTCTCTGCGACTTTCTGATGTCTACTTGCAGACGAAGCCAAAGTTTGCAAAGCCAGGACAGTCTGCGGCGAATGCCTCGGCTTCCCAGCCTCACTCCAAAGGCCATGAAGAACCTCTGGATTCGGACAGCTCTTTTCGAGAAGGTGCTGGACAAGATTGTCCTCTTCCTGGCGGAAAACAGCAGGTGCTTTACACAGTATAAAATGTCGTGCCTGCGGATTGTGCAGGAAGGCTCTCTGTCTCCTATCTGTCTCCTATCTGACCCATTTATCTGTCTTCCAGTAAATATTATGAGAAAGAGGCTGTTCTAATGGACCCTGTAGACGGACCTATCCTTGCTTCTCTGCTGGGTAATTTGCGACTTTATTAGCAAGCTCTTACTGGCGTTTTCTAACAAACGTGTATTTGGTTCATTCATTCATCAAAATGCGGGATATCAGTGGTCTTAGCGGCGAAATTCCGACTAAAAGCTTTCCTGTGGTGTTAATTGCACCTCCACTGAAGCCTAAATGTGTTTCTGTGAATCACAGCGACGAGTTTAATTTCACATGGAATCAGATTGGTGCTTACTTAGTAGCCATGGTTATTGATAAAGAATCTGATGAATTCTAATGCAGGAGATGGATGAAAAAAAAAATGCCTTTCAACGTAATCATGATAAAAACGCCCTGTTTTGATTGGGACTGTCAGAGAGGTTTTCATTTCACAGTAGGCTAGTGTATGTTTATTGATGTAAGGTGCCGTGGTGGAGAGCTGCGAGAGAACATTCACGAGTTGTCCTGCCACGACTCTCGCTTCTTCTCGTGCACTGAAGCAAGCAAACGTCACAGGATCGCTCTGTAAACACGCCGGATGATCGTTCGGCCTACACTGAAGTGGGAACCTCGTCGTTTGTAATGGTCGATGCAAATGATAGAATCCAATCATGTAGGGTCAGTGAGAGGGGAGGTATTCCTTGCCGCATGAAACTGGCCACCGTTTCCCAAAAAAGGCTACGATGTCAGCGAAGATGTGGCAGCGCTGAGGGTGTGAAAATGACTTCTGTCAAGTTTCTGAACAAAAGAAAAAGTGTGCCTCTCATCACAAAATCATCTTCATGCATGAAGCTGCGCCATCTCATGCTGCAAGGAATAGCTCATTATCATGCCTCATCGGCTGCTAGGAGCAGAAAGGGAGAAAAACTCATGGGATGGAGCCCGTCCTTCCCTGAACTAAATCCTGTTGAGAACCTTTGGAACATCCCCAGGCAAAAAGATCTGTGAGGGAGGAGGCAGTAGCAAAAGATCTATAAGGGTGGGCGGAGGTTGACATCCAAGCGGCAGCTCTGGGAAGCTATTCTGACATCCTACAAAGAAATTCAAGCGGAAAAAGGCAAAAAACCCACAAGTTCAATGGATGCAAGAATTGTGAATCTGGAGGTGGCACGCTGTCAAAACAAGCACTCCTATGTTATACCGGTTATCTAACTCCATCTGTTAAGACGTTTTCGATAGGCTTTGATGCTGATGCTGCAACTCCAGCAGATGACTATTTTCACTTCTTTCCAACCTATAAAATGTTTTGAAACCTTATTGCGCGCTGCAACTCGGGACAGGGCATTTGAAGCTTTGTAGAAAATCATTCAAATTCCATCCTATCAAATGATAATGGTAGATATTAAATTCTATAACTTCAATTATGATGACTGTCATTTGCTAGTTAGGAAAATCTGGAAAAAAATGATCATTTGCATGATAATTTGCAATGCAGAGTATTGGCATTCAATGTTTATAGCACATCATATTTGTGATGTATTTGAGCATGTACATGATTTTACAGCTGATGTAAATATATTCCCCCCCCCGTGATAGTGGGACCTTGTGCTTTGGAGTATACGAAGATGAAGACGGCCGACCACTTCTGGACCGATCCCTCGGCTGACGAGTTGGTGCAAAGGCATCGCATCCACAGTGGTTACTGCAGGCAGGACTCGCCCACCAAGAGGCCTGCATTGTGTGTAAGTAAGGAATCGGGCGCAGCTTGTGCGAATGTGGCAGGATTCAAATGAATCTTTGCAAGTCGGTATGTGTCAAAACAAAACATTACAATAAACATTTACACTTGACGTAGTGTGTCTTTTTTTTAAGCACTGCCACTCTTTTGAATTTGTTACATTTCAGATCCAGAAGCGTCACTCCAGCAGCAGCATGGACGAGCGCCCCTCACCCTCGCCATCGGCGCGCGACTACGTGGAGTCACTGCATCAAAACAACAGGGCCACACTGCTGTTTGGCAAAAACAATGTGCTCGTTCAGCCGGTAAGTGTTGAATGAAGAAACTCAATCGATGAACAACACAAGCCAAGTCAGGTTCTCATAATATTGGAAGGACTTTTATTAACCTGCACAGCTCTACGCAAGTGCAAACTACAACCACCAAAAAATACTAATAACAATGTTAGTCATTCGGTTATTATTATTTATTTAGAAAAATTATTTGAACACGGAGCAATGTTTTCTTTCATTTCATGAATGCTTGAACCAACCAACACATCAGATGTGGGCAAAGCATAGCCTGCTCTGTTGCTATGTTTTTTTTTTTTTTGTTTTTATAAACCTGCCCCATCTGTCCAATTTGTAAATCAAATGTCGTCCTTGAGCAGAAAGGTTTGCCCACCCCTGCTATACCGACTATGCTTTTAAGTCAAAACTCAACAAAGTAAGTCCTTCATTGTCTGTTCCATTATGCCTGGGATGAAACCATCTGTCCTCATGGCTTGTTGCAGAGGGACGACATGGAGGCTATCCCGGGTTATCTCTCCCTTCATCAGACGGCCGACCTCATGACACTGAAGTGGACACCCAATCAACTTATGAACGGCTCTGTTGGCGATTTGGACTATGAACGAAGGTGATGATGCGATGGCGTGTCTTTGTGGGCAAAATAACGCCAGGATGCAAGATTACGCTGCTTTTAGCAAAACACTTAAACACGCCTTTGTTTCTGAATGATACAATGTGCGCGTGCGTGTGTGTTTGCGTGTGTGTGTGTGTTTGCGTGTGTGTGCGTGCGTGCATGTGCATTGTGTGTGCAATTGTGTCTCACAGACTGTGTATGCACAGCTCATCTAATTAGGCTTATTTTCAGCAGACAGGCAGCCTGCAGGTGGTTTATTGACTCAGACACTGTCAGACCAACCAGTAATGTAATATTCCTCTGTTAGTGTGTGTGTGTGTGTGTGTGTGTGTGTGTGTGTGTGTGTGTGTGGGTG